AAATCATTTAATTATGGATCAAATGAATGGTGAGAATGACTCACGAGTTCGTTCCAGGAGTCGTCCCAATAACTGGCGGTGTCTTCACCGCAGACTGACTTGAATTTCTGTCGGAGACAGTCCTGCGAGACATGAGTGATACAGCACAGGGAGGCGATGCGCTCTCCTTTGGGTATCTCTTTGAGTTTGGTTAACATAACTAAGTGTTTGTCAGCGCACAGGTGGAAGGGCTCCATCTTCTCCTTAGGGGACAGACACTTGATATGAGACAGGAATTCATTCCTATCTTTGCCGACATTGCATCGCTTGTCTATAAACCGCTCGCCATTCTTGAGGGCTATTTTGATGGCCATCTGAATGTTGCCTTTAAGGCACCGGTCGTTGAAATCTGAAACACATTTGCCATTCTTTCGGACCTGACTATCAATTGGATCAGTATTTAAGTGATTATTAATACATTTAATATGAATTTCAATTTGCGAAGCGTTTACTTGATAGCCGACACGACATCACTCGTAATCAAATGTAATCAATTGAAGACAATTTATGACAAATATTACTATTATCTCCAATTATATACATTTATCAAAGAGTGTGAAGGGATTTACAAACAATTAATTGAGTTTAGCATTCATTTGCAAAGCATGAGTTATATTGCCAAAATACTTGGTGCACTTACACACAAAACTCATCCAGCTCAGCATCATTTGTAGGCGCACTCATATCTCTGTTGCCAAATATCATTGATTTCATGCCTTAAATGATATTTTAAATTAAAATTTATAAATTTACATTTTTTAATTGCTTTATCAATGAGTTTATGTTTATTACCGCATTTGTCTGCGGCCTCCATAGAAATGGTACAATCGCTCCATACATGTGCGATACAAATACACATCAAGACAACTAATTGTGCGAAAGGAGTATATTATTATAATTTAGATTTAAATTTATTTTATAACAATAGTATAAATTACATTAAAAACATTACTCACAAAACTCAATAAACACATTAATTTTAATCATTTTTCAGTATTTATTACTATTGATTAGTAGGTTTAAAAAATTAAATATTAATTTTATTTTATATATGATTTGATGTGCATTTGTTTTTTAGTTTGTGGGCGATTTTTATATTCATAAAGTTGCATGCATCAATGGTTACAATTATTGAAGTCCCAAATGTACTCAGACTTTGATTTATATGATTAGGTCTATTGTCGAAACTCATTAAATAAGACTTTCACTTGAATTCACTGTTCAATGTCTTTGATTTAAGAAAATTCAAATTTAATTGTTTTATCATTTAATAAATCAAATCTAATATTTTAAACAAAACCTTTATTGAACTATAAATATAATTTATGGTAAATATTGTACACCTATTCCTATGTAAGTCACCTTTCCACAATTACTGATCCTATATTTAGAGGCAATATGTATAGTGCCGGTCGGGCATGAAATAACAGATTGTCTTTTTTGGACCAAACAATTGGATGGCAATTAATTGCAAAATTTTAGTGCACCCGTACTATTAACAGCCGAACCCATATAACAACATTTTTGGGTCAATTATATTTTGTGATGTAATTCAAAAAGACATAACAGTATAATGTCTTATGAATATTTAGATACAACTTATGTTATTAAGTAAAACCAAACGCAGACACTAACTGACAGTTAAATCAAACAATACGAGTGCCTGAGTGTCAGTTGAGATGAAAAATTGATGGCAAATACAACTTAACCCTAAACTTAAGATGATTTATACAAAATCACATGTAATCAGAAAAAACTTTTATAGCAATAATTTTTTGTTGTATAAATAACTGGTTTAATGGATTAGATTTATTAAACAACTTTTTTGGACTTATTTTTGGTATTATATTTTTTAGATTAAGGCAAATATCAAACTTTTAACAAATAGATTATATGTTTGCTTCCTTTTGGCTCATCATTTATTTAAACATTATATTTTGTAGTTATTAGTATTATTTATGTTTAATTTATTATAAATATTTATATTAAACGTTTTATTTTGAAATTAATAAATAATGAGTATCATATTCATATTATTTACTTTATTAATACATATATATTTAGTTAATTGTGAGCAATATATTCATGATTTATATGACGATGAATTGTACGATATATATGATTATGAAATCTGGAGTATTGGACCTAAAAATGTAAGTCTTGTTCAAAGTATTTTTAAAATAATTATTTTAAACAATTTAAATATTTTAATTTGTCTTTATAAAAGCTATATATTCCGTATCAAACAAATACTTACTTATGGAGAAGTCTTATACCAATACCCTTTGAATCAAAACGACATATTTCTCAAGTATGTCTAAAATATGTTTAATATTTTGTATTAAATGTGTATTACTTTTAGATTAAATCTGTCATTCAAACAGAGAATGAAAGACATATAAAAGATATTTATTTATTTCGTTGCCATAAATCTTCACAACCAATAATTGATAACTTCGATGATAGCAATGAATGGATCTCTAATAGAGTGATAGGAGATCCTTATAATCCAGATCAAGAGCACCGGTGCTGGAAATTGTTAGCCGTTTGGACGGATACAGACATCGCTAACAAAACTGTGTTACTTTTGCCACAATCTGTAGGAATACCTATTAATAGGCAAAATGATGGGGAAGAATATCTATTGTTTGAAATCACTTACAAAAATTTGGATCATTTCCTTGGAATTCGTGATTCCTCTGGTTTTGATGTCTATGTCTATAAACATAACACTGATATCGAGGCAGATATCGTTGCCGTTGGATCTGTTCCTGACTATCGGTTCTTCATTCCCCCAAAAATGAAGGAATGGGTGGTCACCGGAAACTGCTATAAGGAATGCCTTCAAAATGTATTGGATTAAGTCTTAATTAATATGTAATATAAATTTATATAAAACAATTGAAAACTTTTTGTATAGCATTTGTTTGTGGATGGCTTTCATATAATAGATGTGATGCACTACTCCAAGCATAAGATGTTAACCGAATTGAGTGTTGGGATCAGTAATACTCACAATAATAAGCAACTCATCCGACAATTAATGAGTTCCCAAACAAATCAAACAATTCATGGCTTGGATCTGGAGTTCAGTAATAGGGATCGGATTGTAGTTAAATGTGAATTCAATTCATTAAACCAAAACTACTCTACATTGGTTTGTATTATAAATTTTATTATGCTTAATATTAATTATACATATATCAATACTTAATGTTATACTACTTTACAGTTAGATTACATCAAATTATAGGTGCTATAGTTTACTACAATTTAGGCAATGATTTTATCTTAACCTTCAGATTAAATGATTAAACACTGGAAAATTATAAGGTTTATAATGATAAAAATAAACACATATTTAACGACACATTAACCGATTGGACCGGTTTTGGTATGTAATAATAAATTAATGTTTTATTTATTTGATGTTTAGGGCGGTATGTCTGACGGGAGGGCACAGTGTATGGCATGGATTGTCTATTATCCCAGAATAGAAGACTTTAACGTTTGTTTGTCTAGCTTTCCGTTGACTACCATTATGTCACTCACAGGTATTGACCATTTGGAGGAACAATGGAGGTAAATGAGCTGGCACCTTCTTACAATGTTATGAGATAAATAAATGATAATTTTTCTATTTTTAAAAAGTAATGAAAACGATTTTGATATTGTTTTGAAGTCAACCAAAAGCAATGAAACCGAAAGATTAGAAGACTATTTGGTTAATAAAAATGACTGGAATTATAGGCTTATTAATCGAGGCAAATATGTGGCTCAGTTTGGCAGACAAACTGCTCAGTGTAATTGGAGGCGAAGCTTTTTTGACCAGATCATTTAATTCGTATGATAATAAAGTTAAATGTGATTTATATTAATGGCATTTTATATATGAATTGACACCTCAATGAGATATTTAAATAATTTATAGAGCTTTCGATACATAATCTTGATTAAAACCACTGTCCAAATGAAAATTGGTGCCTAGTTTTGATTTTATATTTCACATTTATATTAACATTGCAGTGATTTTTTTTGCATGGATAATTATCATGTGTTTTTGTGAATAAATCAATCAATGATTTGCTTTTTTATATCATAACATAAGTGTTTAAACATTTTGATTAATAAGAAACATTTTAATTCAATGGACAATTGTATTGACTTTGAGTTGATTTTAATTATTTAAACCTTGAATTAGTCTGAATATTAAAAAGAAATTAATTTATAAATAAATATATAATTATATTTTTGTGTAATTTTGTGTAAGAATTCAAAATCGCTTAAAAGATTCAAAAGAATAATACATTTATTTTAATTATAAGTCACAACTATATAAATATTACCATTTATAGATAATAAATGACATTAAATGTATTTATAATACAGTATGTGAAGTTAAACTAATTTCAATTATCATTTAAATTAATTTCAATTTTTAATGTAATCTTTTTTATTAAAATAAATTTATTTATGGATATATATTTGTTTTACAAAAAATCGATAAAATCCTTATGTCATTAAAATCCTTGGTTTTATAAATCACTTGTAAGAAAATTATTCAAAAATTTCTTATGAATCTTTTTCTTAATTTAATTGGGATTTCAATTCTGGTGAAAGTGTTGAAATGAATTTGCTGGTTGCAATGTTTTTATTTATAGGTAAGTCTATACTTGACATCAATTTTTGTAACTAAAATGCGGTTAGATTTCCAGTTTAATAAGTATATTTTATTATTGATCAATTAATAATTATATTAATTATTTAATTATTCATCTCTTGACTGCATTTATTGAGGTGTTTGTGATAAAAGTGTTGAATCGATTCACGCGAAGATAGGCACATATGAAGGCATTACAGACCAAAGATGTGGTCAAAGTAGTCATAAACTCAATTACCTGCAGACATGTGTCCGGTGTGTGAACAGGAAAGGTGGTCAGCGGTCGCAGAAGCTAATTGGGGCCGAGAGTGCAGGTGTCGGTGAATTCCCGTGGATTGTCTCCTTTCAAAGCAACAAAACTAAACACCATTTCTGTTCGGGAAGTCTCTTAAACGCCAATTGGATCCTCACAGCCGCCCATTGTTTCAAGTAATCAGCATTTATTATACTTTTTATTCATTTATAACATAAAAGTTAGTTTTAGTAACTATTTTAAAATTATGATCTAAGTTTAATCTAGCTTTTGATTTAATATTTTTGAACTAACTGTTAAAATCATATTAAAATATATTAATTATAAAACAATTTTAATAATACTATTTTTATTTTTGATCTTTTCTATCAATGATACATATAAATGCAATGTAATACTCATTGTAATTAAGCTTTAATTAAAATCACACTAAAATAAAAATATTATTTGATCTTAAAATGTCAGCAAAAATGATAACTTATAAGTAATAATAATCCTGTTGGTAATCCGGATAGCTACTGATAAATTATTCATAGAAATCCCCACTTGAAACGATGTTTAATTAAATATTTGTTTTAATTAGATATGAATATATTTCGTAATCTAATACTTAATCAATAATTGATCGCAAATTTCAGAGGCCATCGAAAAGTCGACACATTTTACATGAGAACCGGTTCTCATGAGATCAGCTCAGGATATGTAGAGAGGGCTCACAAATACTATTTGCACCCGAAGTACAACTTAAGTGATCCCAACGGACCGTACGATTTGGCGCTCGTCTTCATTGATAAGACGACACGAAGAAAGCGAATCCAACCCAAGAAGAAATACAACTCTAACGGCATTTGTCTCCCGGAAAAGGATATCCAGAATGACATCCAAGAGAAGGCCTATTATTCAGGGTTCGGGCGAATCAACTATAAGGGCGTCAGAGCAACCAATTTGATGAAGTCGTCGATGACTTTAATGCCCGACAGTGAGTGTCATAACCATATTTCCAAATACAGTATGGCATGTCTTAACTCAAACACCAGTCACACTTGTAAGGTATAACCATTTGCTTTATCTAGCACATTAATTGTATTCATAATTATTTTGGACAATGTTTTCAAATGATTGACTATTTGAAGGGTGATTCTGGATCTCCTTTAGTGCAATACGTGAATAATAAAGCGGTTCTCATTGGCATACATAAGGGGTCGACCAAAATGAGGGGTAAATGTGGAAGAGAGACATCAGTGACCACAAGAGTGTCAAAGTTTATTGATTGGATCGTCGATACAATACGAAGTCATCAAAACAAACTCTATTAATCAAATATTCAATACAATTATATTCACAAGGAGTTTACAATGTAACTTACAACTTTACATCAAGTTAACAATTATTATTATTTTAAATACATATTAATATCATATTATAGTATTTTCTCTGAAGTTTACTATATTAAGTACTAGAGTGCATAAACTGTAAGACTAATACACTGTATGATTAATGAAGTATTTTGTTTTATTTGCTGAATAATCATCAAAACTACTACTGGATTCACTTTGTATTAGTAGAACACCATAAGAGATAATGAGACCCAATATCTAAACAATAGATAAAAATTAATTTGAATATAATTCGTGAAAATGGCATTAAATGAGCAGAAAAAGTGAACTCACGGATAGGATTAAAGACTTGCCGATTACGAAAAATCCTGAAGCGCTCACACTTTTCATGTTTGTCTTAACAGTTTGTTGTAATGAAATCATCTTTGAAATATATTTAATTAAATTAAAAGTAATAACTTATTAATAAGTATAAGGAATGTTATTAATTCAAACATTTAAAAAATCCTATTAAGATATTATTAAAAAAAATTGTTATAGCATTGAAATAAGACAACTTCAATAAATACTTAACTTACCATCACTTGACTTCTTATTGAATTAAAATAATCAAACTTTTCAATCGATATTTTTATTTGTTTGTTCTGGAAATAAGATTAATGATAAGTAAATTGTGATCACTAATCATAATGAAAAACTATTATATAAAATATATACCAAATGATTGAGTTTATCGCCGATCAAACAGATAAGACCCAAACGTAGGCCAAAGAAAAAGAGTCCACAAATGGGTGTCAGACTATTGAGAGACTTCAAGAGTCGATTGGAGACAAAGAGTTTGCTGAAGAAGTAGAATGAGATCATTGTATCCGTGAATAAAGAGCCACAGATCAGTAATAGCATCGGAGATAATATTGCAGATAAGCTATCGATAAGAGATTGAATTTTCAGGTAATTATATTTAATGAGACGAATGTCTGATTCTGTGATCAAGTTTTGGTTCATTTTTGCCAATTTTTTGGCGAAATTTTGCTGAATTATTTGGATATAAAGTACGAAATAAATGAGATAGAAATCAGTGGAGAAAACTAAGGGCTGGTTATAAAATTCGGCCACAAATGTGAGAAATACCAGTGATATTGGGATATCGACATACGATAAGTTATATGCTGTGCTCATAACCACAAAGTCATAGATTATTATCATCAATACAAAACCATATATTGAACGCCGGTTTGCTTTAAAATAGTCAACCCGTATGTCAAGCTTGGGATCAATCGAGTCGAGCGTATCTCTCAGATCGGTAATGAATTTACGAAATTGTGTGCCTTTAAGACCATAGAATATACCAGACATGAGACAAACAAAATTTCTGCCCAACAAATGCACAAACAATTGTCGTGTCTCTGAATCTGTATGACTATGAATCCATAGACACATTATGTTTTCAATGAGACATGGAGTGGTGAAAGCCGTGATATAGATGTGGATCAATACCTGATAAATAACTAACACAACATATTTAATTTTTTGCTCATTTTTAAAGACCCCGTAAAGGCCTAAACCAAAAACTCTATGAATTTTAACCATTCGTTCAAAATAATCATCTTTTCTTGAATGCGTGAATGAAACCATAGTTGAAGATAACTAATGAACTAAATATATTTGAACTAAAAACTAGATTAAATGTAAGTTAAATGTATTCTTGTAGTCCAGTAGTTGCGGTTTCTAACAACAAAGTTTAGGAAACTTTTTTATTTTTATAATTTATTATTTATACATGAGTTTGAGAACAATAAGTTAATTATTGAGACACTTATATAATACAAAACTCAATTTGATATGAAGATCAGAATGTATAACAAATTACCAGTAGAAACATGTTTACTCAATTTATAACTGATGCATAATTTATATTAGTTGTTGATTTATGCTCCAGTGTTATATTTACATATTAAACATTTTAATAAAAGAGTCAAATATTTTTCAAAACAAAACCTAATTTTATCTTTACATTTATTTCCTTATAATTTGTATTGACATTTGCTTCACTCTTTTCAGTGACAACGTGTGGGTTTGCTTTTATAACTTAAGTTAGTTTACTATTACATCAAATTTATTCATTCATTTAACGTTATTATAAATTTACAAAAAAGTCAAACAATAGAAAAAGTATTTTTGAAATATCGTAAATATTACTATAAAAGTTGCTTTAAAACTAGTGTACAAATGATAAGTATAGACATATCAATATACAAATATTTTAACATTTTATTTTAAATTAAAAATATTTTTATTATAATAGTTATAAAGTAGATAAAATTCCTATAGCATTACAAAAAGTTTCACGAAAGACTATCCTTGTCAATATTGATACAATGTTTATGCTATAATGTAAGCAAGGTTACACCTGCATGAACTTTAACTTTGGTGGGTATTCCTTGTATTTGAAACTCAATTTAAGTGAAAATTAATTTATGTAACATTGAGAATTGTGTTTTAATTGTAAAAATTTATTTTCCCGAAAATATCAGTATTGATTTATAACATTTAGAGGTTAGGCACTAATATTTATTGTTTTCTTTCTCTATAATTACTTTTTATATATTGGTTTTGGATCTCATTTTAATAGTCCTGACATTGAAAATAAATGTCATTTATAAATATATTTGTCAATTGCTTATCAAATATATTTTATGACAGGATAGAAATAAGATTATTAACCAATATATTTTAATATAACCAATATTAACCTTACAATGAGAGTTTAGACAATTTTGTGTATAAAATAATTATTAAAATAAATTATTTCAATTATAGCAAATAATAACTTATTGTTTTTTTATAAATATTTCATAACATTGCAAATAAAATTTTGCTTTCACTTAACTTAATTTAGTTAATTTGTGCTGAAATAAAAAATTTAGCAAAGTCACCACAAATTGTTGCAAGTATTTTATACAATTATTTTTAATTAAGACAAATAATAGTTAAGATATTGTGATGTAACCATATAATTAAATTTTTGAAAATTAAATATATTTTATCTTAATTAATATAAATATCTTCTTTGTTTTATTTGTATTGTTTCTGCGTTTTGTAACAGAGATTACAATCTTTTTAATAATTTATGTGATTTTAATTTTGTTTATTAATCACTTGAAATAGTCATTTGCTAAATAATTTAAGATTACAAAATAAATTTTTACATTTATAAAAAATATTTCATAAACTTTATAGATTAAATGTTTTTTAAAATAATAGTTCATACATATGGCAAAATTTAGACCATAAGGTTCATATGGTTTCACAAAAAATAATAATTTATATCTACGGTATACAGTATATTAGAAATGAAAGATGTTCATGTTTTACATGTTATTTTAATTTCTAATTGACTTACTTATTAAGCATGAAATTATGTCACAAATTAAGTTTGTGATTATTATATACATATTATTATATATTGTATCTCTATAATATTATATTAAATATATTGATAAAACTTGAGCCAGAAATTATAATTTAATGGAAATTGTAATTTATGCTTTCAATTAGTTATAATTATATCGGATTCACTTTCAAATGAAAAATGAAATTTACACTAATATTTAGATAATGTTTATTAATAAGTTTATATCGATTTGTTGTGAACTTTTAAACCATTAATATATATTTTAAAATAATTATAATTTGTTCAAATTTGTTAAAATTATTTTAATTAATAAACAAAAATACATAGCTCATTACATTTAATTACATTAAAATTAAAAATATGAATTAATAAAAAAAATTTATACAAATTATACAAAAAACATAAAATTCTTAATAATTATTTTAATTAATCTATTTGAAATACATTTCGATTAAAACTTAAAAAATCATTTACCGCTATATATACATAATAAAAATGTTAAGTATTTTATAGAAAACTTAAATCCAAAAAGATTATTAAAATATTAATAATAATAATTAATAAAAATAATGAATATGACTTTCAATACCTTAAAAATTAGTTCAATTAAAATGTTTTCTAGTTCAATGTTATAAGAAATCAATTGAATACATTTCATAAAATAATACTTCATCGTAAGAGTAAAAGTGTTTATAATTAATGTAATGATAATCAAGAAATTGTTTTTCTATAACTTCGTTGTTATGATATTATATAAATAATAACTGAATTAATAAACAATTAATTTGAGCCAAACTACTACTTCACGATTTCAAAACTATAAGATCGCATAAAATGAATGTCAAACAAAACTATAACTCTTAAGGCGTTTAAATAAGTCCCTCTAAAAACGTATGGTCGACCACAATAAGTCTCTGTCCAAAGATTACTTTAATGATAATAATGGTCCAAACGGGCCATTTGGCGAACAAAATGCCAAAAATCCAGTCAATGAAACCAAACGTTATCTTTAGGCATAAGTTCCTTGTCTTGTCGGCAGCGAAATACTCGGGCAGTCCTTTGCGTTCAATAACGGCGTCTATAGTCTGTTGGGAGGGCTTCTTGAGGTCATACGCGAGACCAATGAGTTTACAGATGTCTATAAAAAGAGTTGCGGGGTTGAAGATCTCATACCATGTCTTCTCGCTATTTGAATAATCTTTGAAACGATAAACAAAACGCAATCTTATATAACATTTCATTGGTTTTTAAAATTAATAAAAAGTTTAAATATCGGAAATAATTAGATTCATCGATAAGATATGTGTTGATAAGACATACCCCACGGAAACGTGTGGTGATAGTTATGGTTTCCCTCTCCCATCGATATCCAGTTAATTATCTTATTTTCTGTGGGTTTCATGAACCTATCGTAAGGACTGTATGGCAAACAAACGATGAGTGAAATAGTTGAACAGAAAATGAGTTCATTTACAAACCGATGGCCTAAGAAGTGGGCGACACTATTGACGGTAAACAAGTGGTGCAACACGACGACAGTCCGCAGACAACTGCACACCAAAAACGCGGTCAATATATCCTCTTTCCAGGAGAGCACCGGTACTAACGTCGGGAAGACATAGGCTAACAGAATGACTAACGGAATGTAGAACTTGTGCTGATAGTAGACAATGGGATCGTTGATGAGGTCATCGACGGGCACTTTCTTTCCGTAGAGCATAACCTCTGGCCTCTTCTTCAGGAGCCACCACCCGATGTGCGCGAAGAAGAAGCCTCGGCCCGGGTTTTTGGGGTCGGCGTGAGTGGCCGGCCACTTGTGGTGATTGCGGTGGTCCCGAGAGTACGACAATATACTGCCGTTCACTGTCATGGTCTGCAGTATCGCTAATATGATCTGCAGAGGCAGTCGCGCTTTGAACGTCCGGTGCGACCAATACCGGTGCCCACCGACAGACATACCGAACCCGGAGAACGACGAGATGAATATAACGAAGAATAGTGTGAAGAGATGGACCGGATTGAAGCACGAGTGCAAATAGGCGTAAACGGCCAACACATGCATTACCGATAGAAATATGACATTAGACCACTTGATCTGTGAGGGCCGGTAGCCAAATATTGTGAACTTTGCGGGAAGTTCCGGATTAACCACTCCCTCCTCCACATCGATAGTGGTCTCATAATAACCGAAATCAAGAGCTAATTCTTCGACATCTTTAGCCTTAAGCGCAACACTTTCTTCAGCTTTTGTCTCGCATTCACTTTCGTTAACCATTTTGTCGGTAGTTTTTGGTTCACTTGATTCCGACATTATTTGTTATATTCTTTTAGACAAAATAAATAAGGCTTTCAAAAATAGTTTGAATGACAAACACTATTGAAATATCCGGCAATTAGTGTTTAAAAGCGTCTACAAATAGTTTTATCAAATTTTCAAGTTTAGCAAAGAAAATTAGCTTATAAATATCAATTATTAAATTATATTTAATAAAATAATATCACCTATTTGTAGAATTCTAACATTATTTGTATTTAAAAATTCAAATTTGAGAATTATAAAAATAATTTAAAACAAAAATTAAAAACTTATATAAATTTTTGAATAAAATTGTATTTGTAGTAAAGTATAAACTTTAATAATATAAACCTACTGAATATAATCTAACTCTCTTCATTATTATAAGATATTTATAAATGATTTTTTTAAGAAAGATTATCCATTGACTTACATAATGTGTTATTCAATGTAGTAAATCAATAGTAAAATAGGACTTTTGGTGAAACCACACTTTGATAACATATCGTAGTAAGTGATGCTCACTATAATTATTAAAAGCTTAAGTGAAAGTTTCAATTCATTGATGTGTCAAACTTGTTTTGATTCAGTATAACAAATACACAAAAAATAAAATAATTGATTTAGATTTTGATTTCACTTATAATATGAATAAATTTTCATAAATTTTGCAAATTTTAAATGAATTAGAAATTTGTAATTTTAATCCAATAAATACCAATTAATGGCACATAAAAAAGAGTTTTGGTTACTTTATTGAACCAAACCTTTGAAAACAAATAATAAATTTAATTATAGAATATTAAAGAATATCAAAAAATACTTTCTTAATCAAAGCCTTTATATTAAATATGAAAACGAGAAAAAATTTATACTTGAATGCTCAACCTTTGGGTTTAATACTAGTCTTAATTGGAAAGTCAAATGTGAAAAAATCCTTTCATTAATAATTCAGATTTTGAAATAATAATATTCCGCACAAAATATTATTCGCCGAAAAAATCACGAAATATTATCTTCAATGATAGCGTTGGCTATAATATTAAACAGTTGTATGTGTTTGCGATATGAAGGCTAATAAGTCATTCATTAGTTTAGTTACCAGTTATTCAATTTGCTGGCCAACCGTTTGTCAATCAGCCTATACATGACGGTGCGGTCTAAATACATCCATCACATTGTGTCAGATGTCTGTCCACACAATTAAGGCGGTCCTTAATAGCAGTCGATTAAGTTTAAAGTATACGTTGTGTTTGTCTCACAATTTGTTTCAATGAGAGAGAGAAAGTGATTTAATTTTTATTTTTCACTTAAAAAACAATTCACTATACAGTGGGCTCTGTTTTGCAACATATTATAAATTATAGTAATATTGGTGTAAACGAGAAATTAAGTTAAACTTTTTTTCTTACTTTTCGCTTATGTTATGCATTATTTCATTGCAGGCTTTCCTTCAATTACATTGTTATTAGTAAAGGAAATATTAGTTAAAATTTTTAACAAAATATTATTTAATTATAACATATACTGTAATAAATAGTTTGCGTTAGAAAATAGTTTTTCACTCTTGAATACGAATTTTTCAAAACTTTCAATAACTTTTGTTTTCAATGATTTGTGTGTAATTTATTTTCAATAGATTGATGGAACAAATGGCAAAAAGATATTTTACTCATAATATTTGTATTCATATGTTTCAAGAAATTTTATTTATTTATTGAAAATGTGAAATTTTGATATCAAGTAAATAATAAAATATTTTGTAATTGAATTTTTGTTAGATATTAAAAATAAAACGCTTTTTAAAAGTTAATTAAAAAGAGTTGTCGATTGAAATTCAAGAATAATTTCTCAGACAATCACTAGAGTGTGAAATAACTGTCAATACACTGTGTATATCGTTTCGGGTTTGACATTTCAATGCAAAATACACTTTATATCTAAAAATTACTATTCATTACCCAAAATAGCATTTAAATACAATATTTTTATTTTAAATACCGTACAAGTAATTTAATTTAAGAGTTAATCTGATAAACTAAAAATGTGTGGGAATTTGAAATTTAACTTATGATAAATGTTATAGGATATTCTGTATTCAATACAGTATTCCCTTTTATTGTTTTTGTCATTAAATGAATAAAGTATAATATTATAAATATTTAAAACTATAAAATTATTTAAAATTAAATACAAATTATTATTTACTATAATTCTTAATGACAAGGAACAGTATACTGTATTTATAATATAATAGTAGTGCTTAATTATAAATTTATAAATTGTGGACTCATTCAAAAATTTTAATGTCACCACTTTAACATATTTTCACCACTGTTAACTAATAAAATATAAAATTCAGTTATTATAAAATACGACCAAATTTTATCATTTTAAAGTTGAGGTGAACTTTCCTTACAGTTAGTCTGATCTGAAATTATGTAAATTATTTGAGAAGGAGTAGTAATTTTAACAATAAATTTGCATAAAATATATGACAGATAGACTTATAACAGTTAGGTTCTGGATACCATACACCAATTGATAAACAATATTAATATTATTTCCGGATTCAATTTGAAGTCTGTGATAACGAATATATAATGATAGGCTTTCGTATATAAATCAATAAAATTATGTCATATGGAGCTCAAGATCATGAGCGCTAAACATTTAATGAAATAATTTTCAAATACAAAGCCCTTGGGCTTCACATATAATAACAATATTAATGAATACATTATGTATATCTTAATATCATATTTATTTTTGTTTGTTAATAATAATAACCAATAAAGTATATAATTTAAATGCCTTTACACACAGACAAATCTTATTTATTTTTGAAATTAAAATATAATTAAATTAGTCATAAAAATTATTAAGGTATTATACCTATATAATTAAAAATAACATTACAATTACACAAAAACACATTAATCAATCAACAAAACTGATCTTTTTTGTTAATTTTGATCGATTATAATCTATAGAGTTGTAAGTTTTCATTTCAAAGGAAATTATAGAAAAAATATGTTTATATAATGTCTTTGTTATAAATAATATTTTAATAATTTATCAAAAGTGAGAAAAACGCGAGTATTTTGCATTCAATGGTAAAGCAAATAAAATATATAATTATAAATCAATTAATTTCAGGATATCATAACATACAGTATTATAGAACTTTGTTTACAACCAATGTAATTTATAACCTTTTGAATTTAAAACTGTTGAAATATGTAGCCATGTTATCTTAAATAATATTCAAATATCTTATTTGACATAATTCCTATACCACCAATTTGACATAATTTCTAATTTTGAAATATTAACTTATTTGTAGTATTGAGAAAATGATAATTTAATTTTAATAGTTTAAAAATAAGTGTCAAGTACATAAATAACTGTTCCCTCTCACTTGGACTCTCGTTGGACCTAATATTACCTCATTTTACTGAAAGTCCTATAAATCTTTAGGATTTTTTTCAAAATGACGATATTTTCAAATAAACTAAAATTCAGTTAAAATGTTATTTTTAATGCTTACTAAACTGTTTTATATGATAAAACAATTATCAATTAATAATAATTATCGAAATTTTTTATAAAATACAATAAATTGCATAAAAGATGAGTTATAGGCAATAAATCGTGAAATAACTGCGAAATATGTGCAATAATTAGCACAAAATGTGTTAAATCAATGAATGGTCTTTTATTTTCCTTTTATTTCACAAACGTTTAATTATTGTGTAAAGGCTTTGATATGAATTTAATATAATCACGACTTTTCAATGAAGTGGTGTTTCTCTTGTTTCCCTCAAATAATCGGGTTTTCTGAACACACTTCTCATTAGAAATGTTTTATATTTAATTAAATCGAAGGATTAATTAAATGTGAAAAATTAGGAAAAACTAACATGTAATTCAATAATTGTCTTAAGGATTTTTGGACTAAATTTTTATTTTAAACATATAATTATATGCTTTATTTGTATCATAAATAAACTTGAAATTAATTAAATAAGAAATTCATTTTATATACAAATGGTTTAGCGATTAAATATTTAAAAATGTGACTCTCGTACACAAAATTTCATTAAAAAGATATTAAAAAGAAATACGAAAAACTAAAATATTATTAATAACTGGAATACATATAAAACTAGAGAACATGAAAACAAAATGTATCGAAAAATACCGGTAAAGAAAAATATTTAAATTTACAAAAGAATACAATTTAAAACTAAATTTATCTAATTATTAGTCAACTGATTGTGAAGAGTCGTCCCATTGGACATCCATAACACCAAATCCCAGCCCAACACCAATAGACATGTGATTGTACTTTGAGTTGAGTCGGGAGTCTTCGGAACCCCTTTTCAGTGCTTTGGGCGACACTACAGTCAACGGCCCCTCAAACGTGTGCTCCGTTTTGCGGCGCTTGGCCTGCGAGCCATTGGACTGAAGCTGCTCTTTGGGTCTCTTCATCTCATAAGCACTGGAATCGCAGCACTCGTTGTTTGCCAGACATTGATAAAGCCATCCTATTGTCACTATTTTGCACGATTTGTTGGCACACATATTGAACACCTCTGACTGGTCACCATCTGGTCCAACGATCACATGAGTAATCGTGTCTTTAAACTCGTTTAAAACAAAGCAACCGCTCGACAGGAGTGCGGATTTGATGGCTTCAAACACTGGTCTCTTGAATCCAAACAGAAACGCTTCGCAGCCCTCGAGGATTGGCTCGTCGTTGCGATTCTTAATTAAGTCATCGATTCTTTGAATGATGTCTTCGTTGGGATTGTCTGTCGAGTGACAAATGGTTTCTGTGTTCGGGACGGAAGTGATGGACGTTCGGCTCATTATTTTAGTGTCGGATCGACTGTCGGTCGACTGATTCATCACATTTGAGTCCAATTTATTCAATTGGTTTGAATTGTTTGCGAGTTTTTGGCTCTTTTGATGAGACGTTTGTTGAGAATCCGAACGAATTATGTATTTCTCCTCAGACTGTGTGAAGCCTTTCCCGAGGGAGTCGTACAGCCACTGGACGTCCAGACAGGGAATGCCTTTCATTTGGGCGTATTTAAACTTATCTCCCGACGCCTCCTTTAGCAGTAGAATGCAATTGTTTGCATTCAGTTTGAGGGAAGGGCTGTAAACACCACCGTTTGAGTTGACGATCTCTTGTACTTCATTCCTCTCCTGTAAATCCACCTAAAAGTCAACGAATAGCATAAGAAATGGTTGTCAACAGATCCAACAAAATGGTAACAAACCTGCGAAACAGTAATCAACAGTTTGTTGAATATCTTGAGCTTATATTTGCCGACAATGTCCGGATCGGCGGCACTCATGAGGTCGTGCTGATGGATATTCCAACAGTCGTCCACCCAATGGCTGGACATGACGGCCGACCCGCACTGTTTGGCCACTCGATACTTCTTAGTGCGCACCGAATCGGTCACCAAATGGGTCACTCTTCGCGTGTAGTCCTTCGAGTAGTGGCCACACATGCGCTCGATTCTGGCGATCAGTTCCCTCTTTCGCTGGCCATCGAAGCCAGAGATGGAGACAAAGAGTTTGCGCATACATTGGCTGAACAGTGGGAACGGCTTTTCGGGAATGTTTTTGAACCGTTGGACGCATTCGTGGGAATAGCAGAAGAGGATACTGAGGGGACCCACGACTCGGGCCGACCTCGACCTCAAGAACTCATAGGCTCTGCCATCGAATGAGTCCAGAATGAAGAGACTTCTACGGAAGCCATGGGACCACTCGTTGCTGACCACCTCGTCCTCATTGATCCAATTGGTGTCAAACTTATGTGATTTCATTGCTGTAAACGCCATTTGCATTGTCTTCGGCTGGCGGCCAATGCTGTGACCCGACTGTGAGCTCGACTTAAATGTCTTCGTTTCGATGCAATAGATGCGGATTTTGGTGTCCATCACGTGTTCTGCGGTCGTGGTCTGTGGCGACTCGCAGGTGGTGGTCGTCACCTCATCACCCCTTCCCTCCACTCCATCGTCCACTTCATCGGCGGTCATCTCTCTCTTCACTTCCATCTCTTGATAATTGTCTTCAATATTATTATCCATTATTTATATTAATCTTTAATTCATTTGCAAATCAATTGAATGAATGACTCATTGAAGTGATTGTCACACGTATTGAGCACTTGTTGTCGTGTTTTGCGTAATCATTGCCATAGATATCGGCTTTAATTCATTGATTCGTCGGACACTCCAATGAACGCACACTGAGTTCAACACAAATCGCACTGAAGTTTATTGTTTTCGTTTCCAAATTCAAACGAAACAACTGTTTCAAACGGAAACTATACGTCGTGTCACTTTTGGCACCATATGTCACAATGGGATTACGCGCGATACAATGTAATCGCCTTGTATGTAATAGTCCTAAACCTCTATTTAATTAGTGATTGATTCGTGACGTTGTTTAGTTACGAGAAAACTACTGTAAAGTGAACACAAGTTTAGTCGATATAGTGTTACAGTGAATGACACTGTGTGTTGACTCCAATTACATGGACTGTAGAAATATGACATTAAATTTCATCACTAATAAAGTTTTGAGATCTCATTTAGTGATTGAAATGTTGTTTCGCATGCTTTGACTCATTCACGCAAATCAATTCCCATTTGATGACACGTTTTTAATCATCATTTTAATCATACTTTTAATCAAATCTATATTTTATTTATACTTTTAATTGATTGTCAATACAATGGGTAAACCGAAGGGGAGGAATGGGTTCTTCCAGTTCTTAATCCACACACAGAATCAGCTCAAGAGAGAGGGCAAGAACTTAGGCCTCAATGCACCCGAACTCCAGGGCATCGCCGGCTCCCAATGGAGTGGTATGTCATCATTGGATCAGTTGTTTATATAATGCAATTGTCTTCTCGTGTCCGACAGCGATGTCAAAGCAAGAGAGGGAACCGTTTGAACAGAAGGCGAAGAGGAGTCAGAGTCAGACCATTGCAGTGACGCCCAGACCTCATAACCAAAGGGCCGAC